ACATTCCCTAAAATGATCATGGCATATATGAGCAAAAATAGTAGGAAAATGAAAATACAGAGTTCAGGGCGGACCCTAAAGCCTACAAGAATGAAGTCAGTCATTTCCGAGTGATTGCTTGTTCCCCGGTCACCCATGAACAGACCTGATGAGAGGCACAAGGCAAAATAAACAAATTAACTCTTGCCTTTAATCCTAGAGATATAAACATTCTATAAGTGTAGAAATATAATACAGGTTAATTATATATTGGTCATAAGCCAATTTCAATATTATGAAGAAGCATGAATTTAGGCTCCTGAAATAGGAGAAATCTACGTGAAATCTATGGAACAGTGAACCATGTACTATGGATTTTGTATTAAATCATACTCTTGCAAAAATTTTAGCTAGAAAGTAGCATTTTTTATTGTTTCATTTTTCTCATATACAGAATTTCAATTATTTACAGTTAAAGAATTATCTGTACCTAAAACAGTAGTATTAAATGTTCTAAAATAAGAATATTGCATATAATCCTATCATGATGTCCATAATCATTTAAACTGATAGCCAAGTCAGTGCCAGAATCATTACATGACAATAAAAAACATTTTAGAAAATATGCTTACCTTGTTCTATTTTATTCTATTTAGTTTCTATTATTTCTGCAGCAATCTTTAGAAAGAGAGAAAACATATAAGTGATCATTGGCACACTAAAATTAATAACATCAGACAATCTTTAAGCCTAGAAAAGCAAACTTTTGTAAAGCTATTTTCAAATATGCATTAATTTTCTTAGATTAAGTCCATTCTCTAAGTAAATTCATTTTTATTGCCTCATTATTAATATTTCAAATGTAATAGTAATTGATCAGTTAAAAGATGCTCTAGTAATTTAGGCCTTTTTTGAAGTGTGGAGATAAGCTAGCGAACATTCAAATTATTACATTGCTCTGGCTGCCTTTCTACCAAAACTGAATGAATTAAAGCAAATGGATCTTACTCTAGAAGCAGGGGAAATAAACAAGATATAAATCAAAATAAAGTTCTTTTTCTGAGTACTGTTATATTTTATGTATCTTAAATTGAGGACAATGCTATAACCATGGATATACTGTATTAGGATCATAGCAACCTTATGTCATCCAGGATCCACTGTTATCTGTCAGAGGAGTGGCTGTCTATGATGGTCTTTGTTATTTTTATTCCTGTGAAACTTTTTTCAGAATATATCAGGACTGAGATTTTGCTCATTTTCTCTGATGGATTCCACTGAGACAGGTATAATCATAAAGTTAATTATGGGCAGGCTCTTGGGTTGTTTTCCATGAGGGTTGCAGAAACCAAAGCCATAAACACAATCTAATAGTAGTCAAAATACAAGAAAAACTTTTCATCTCTGATTTTTGTGTGTCCTTTGAGAAGTCTCTCTGGACTTTATTGAAAATGAAAAACTTTCTAGTATTTATTACAGCAAATATTAAAAAGCCTAGAGAAATAGATTAAACAGTTTGTACCCTATAAGAAACTCCTTAGATAAGCGAATACATTTGGTATAAATTAAAAAGAACAAACATTCTCTCCAAATTATCATTAGCTTATATTTCTGGATGTCAGAACTTTCATGATGTGGTGAATGTTTCCTAAATCACAAACTTAAATCTGATGATGTTTTGCTAATTCTATGCTTTCCAATATTTAAATATTAAATAGTTAGAAATATAATGGAAGATACGATAGCACTCAATGTAATTATCAAAAAAAACCCCAGTAAAAATATTTACATGAGATAAGAATCTATATTTAAAAATTCTTTGAGATTTGTTGGGCAAGTAGTTTAGTGGTGAAGTTCCCTAGCATGCATGGAGCTGTGGATTAAAATTCCCAGCACCAACACAACACCACCACCGCCAACAGCAACAAGAAAAAACAAATAAACCAAAAAAAATTTAGTAAACATTGTGTGACTGAAAGACTAAAGTCAGCAACATAATATTCCTTTTGCTGAGTCCATCATTCTAGGAGCATCTTTTCCTCCCTCAGTGTTTCTATAAATTAATTGCAATCCTATGTTAGAAAAGTCTTTTTAAAATTACAAATATCTGTTGCGTTTCTTTGGAATAATTTCAGTGTACAGAAGGAAAAAAATGGTAAAATGTCAGCTAATTTTTCCCCCAAACAACAATAATAATTTATTTTTAACTGATGAAAAATGTATATATTTATAATGTACACTAAGATGTTTGAAATGTGTATTCATTTAGGAATGACCACCCTGAGCATGGTGACACACACCTGTAATCCCAGCACTTGGGAGGCTGCGGCAGGAGGATTGCCATGAGTTCAAGGCCAGCCTAAACTGCATAGTATGGCTCTGTCTCAAGAAAAAAAAAGTGATTTCATGAAGGAATAACTAGACTGAGGTAACTAACATATGCCTTACCTGACATACTTATGAGTATTTGTGATGAGGGCACTTAAAATCTAGTTTTAGGTATTTTAAAGAATACAGTAAGTACATTATTAATTTTAATCACTATGTTGTACAATCATTCTCTTTCACTACTTCTTTTTCAATTAAGGTTTGCATCCCTTGGCCACCACTGCCCCAAATATTATCTCAACATTGTGGTAACCAGCATTCTACTCTCTTTTTTTTTATGAGTTCAACTGGTTTATGTGAGATTATATGTGAGATCACGTGGCATTTGTATTTTTGTGCTGGGTTTATTTCACTTAGGTACAATAATATCCTCTAACTTCATTAAAGTTGTCACAAATGACAGAATTTCTTTTTTCCTTTTCTTTTTGAAACAGAGTCTTCAAGCGCAAGGACCCGAGTTCGATCCTCTTCAGCAAACAGGAATAATGTAACTTTTTCCTTTCAGATTCAGATAGCTTTTACTTTTTTCTCTTACCAAATCATCCTGATTAGGAGTTATAATACTAATAGCAGTGATGACGGTGAACATCCTTGCCTTGTTTCTGATCTTAAAAGAAAAGCTTGAAAGTTTTCAACATTGAATATGATGTTAGCTATGGAGTTGTCATGTTTGTCTTTATTGTGTTTAAGTACATTGTTTCTAAACATAATTGTTAAGCTTTTATTATGAAGAGATATTGAATTTTGTTAAATTTGTTTTCTGTGTCTATTGAGAGGTCATGTATATATAATTTAGTATATGTAATTTCATGATAAATTATATATAACATATACATAATTTTATAAATGCAATTATATAGAAAAAATGCATATATATATTTAAGCAATGATTTATTCCAGGAATTCAAGGCTGGTTCAATAGTATAAAAACAATAGGTATAACCCAGCATATTTCTGACTTAAAGAAATGGCTTGATCATTTTCTTTGCATTTCAATAATTTTATTGAAAGGTATATCTCTTAGTACCAAACATAAAGGTAGTTGGTTAGGTTACCTCTGCCAACTCAAAATTAATACTGATATTTTCAAAATATTGACATATATCAGCCTTATGGTAAAACTTTAAGTAGCCACAAAATGTGGTTTACAAAAAGTTAAAGGTAGAATATACTGTGGTTCTTTGGTTTATTTTTCAATGCTTAGTTATCTGTAACATGATGTCAAAATTGGTTACATCCATTCTGGACAGACTCAGGCTTCAGGCTGCACGAACTGTTTACAACACTAACAATATATGTACATTTCCTTATACTGATTGGCTCATATGGAGAATTCAAAACACTACCTCAGCAATCTCATAATTATGGTGGTGCCTCCTTACTTCTCTAAAGACACATGATGGAAATTTGTGAAAGTATATTCTATTCCTTAAAAAAAAAAAACTGGAAGCGATGGCAGTTTTATAGAAACAGTTCATAGTAAAACCTGAAGTGCTTTATCTAGCCAGAACTTAGGGTAAAGCAAATTTTCAGAGTGGTAATTGATTTTGATTTAACTGTGTAATATAATAGAACATTTTTTAAAAAAATGGAACTAGATAAGACTGAGGAAGTAGATTCTGTATAGAAATTTTTATCATTGATACAAATGTCACCTGTTTTTTAGAAGAAACATTAAAGATAGCTCAATGAATATGCACCAAACTTTGTAGGTCTGTATTTTGGCTTAATACAAAATGTTTTTAAATGTAAATGTAATTCCCATATAGCAATAACATTCTCATCTCTGAACTATCTGCTGCTTGACTTATGGGTGCCAAGAAACCATTACACTATCTAGAATATAACCTTTATTATGCCTTAAAAAAGTGCATGTGTGAAATGTTGGTTTTGATGTAAACCTCATAATTTAAAATTTAACATTTAAATTAAGTAGGTTACCATTTTCCAAACCACCTAAATATAAGATATTGATCCAGTATAGAAAGTTAAATTAATATTAGAAATGAAAACTCACAGTTCACCCTTTCAGGCTTGTTTCACATTTATGTCTTTAGCTTTATAGTTGAATTCAAATCTATACAATCTTACTGCAGCATTACATTAATTAGGCAGTTTTCCAAAGATGGAGAACATCATACTAATGTAATTGTGATGCTTTGAGGGTTCATAATTTATTTATTTATTATTTTTTGGTACTGGGGATCAAACTCAGGTCCTTTTGCTTGCACAGCAGGCAGCAAAACCACTGAGCTAAATCTCCTTCCCAATATTTTGTTTTTTGGTTATTTTGGGTTTTTTGGTACCAGCGATCGAACTCAGGCCCTTGTGCTTGTGAGGCAGGCGGTGGCACCACTGAGCTAAATCCCTGGCCTGAGGGTTCACAATTTAAATCAATTATAACATTATGGAGTCCATAGTTCAGGGTTGTGGAGAAAGGCTTCAAAGAAATTTTTTTGTTGCTGCAATAATACTATTTATGTAAAGAACAAAAGCCCCCAACTTATCAAAATTTATCTAAATGCTACTAGCTGTTAAAAGTAAATTTTTCATGCCCAAGTTTCATAATCATATGTGGATGTATTAAATATTAACATTCAATTGTGAGCAGGAAAAGATAAATCATTACTGTAAGTTAATAAATTTAGATGGCAAGAACATATAGAATATATACAGTGACTGAATTTATGATTTTTAATGAATATAATTACTCTCTATTATTCCAGTTGCAATAGCAGTATGTTGAGAAATACTGGCAATTTCCAGAAACCCAAAAGTGATCATCTGTTTTGTACTACTTTTTCTTTAGGTGTAACATTCAAATTC